TTGTAAAATTTGCCTGTGAAGCCTTCTGGTACAGGGCTATAGTGTTTTGGGAGTTTTTTGATAACTGCTTCAATTTCACTAGTCATTTTCAGTCTGTTCACTTTTTCTGCTTCTTCTTAATTCAGTTTTGAGAGATTGTATGTTTCCCAAAATTTGCCCATTTCACATGGGTTGTCCAGTATTTTGGCATATAGTTGTTCATAGTAATTTCTTACAATCCTTTGTATTTCTGTGATATTGGTTGCGACTTTTCCTCTTTTGTTTCTGATTTTACTTATTTGGGTCCTCTTTTTTTCTTGATGATTCTTGTTAAATGTTTGTCAGTTTTGTTTATCTGTTCAAAGAAGCAGCTCCTGAATTCATTGATTCTTTGGATTTTTTTTAGTCTCTATATCATTTAATTCTGCTCTGATCTTGATTATTTCCTTCCTTCTACTCACTCTGGGCTTTGTTTGCTGTTTTTCCTCTAGTGCTTTTAGATGTAGGGTTCAGTTGTTTATCTGAGATTTTTCTCACTTCTTTAGGTAGGACTGTATTGCTATAAACTTCCCTCTCAGGGCTGACTTCATTGTGTCCCATAGGTTTTGGGTGTGTCTATTTTGATTTGTTTCCAAACACTTTTTGATTTCTCCCTTGATTTCCTTGTTAACCCATTCATTATTTAATAACATGTTATTCAGTCTCCATGTATTTGAATGTTTTTGAGTTTGTTCCTGTAGGTTGGTTCCTAGTTTCAAGGCCTTGTGATCTGAGGTGATGCTTGATATGATTTCAAATTTTTTGAATTTGTTAATGCATATTTTGTGTCCTACCATGTGGTCTATCTTAGAAAATGTTCCATGTGCATTTGAGAAGAGTGTATATTTTGCTCCTTTGGGCTGAAATATTCTGTAAATACTAAATCAGCCCATTTGATCCAGAGTGTTGTTCAATGCCAGAATATCCTTGTTGATTCTTTGTTTGGATGACTTACATTGTGGACAGCAGGATGTTTAAATTCCCTACAGTGACTATGTTGTTGTTGATCTCCTGCTTATAGTCCTTCAAGATTTTCCTTCTGTATTTTGGTGCTCCTATATGGATGCATATATGTTTACAAGTGTTATATCCTCTAGTTGGACAGTTCCTTTAAGTGTTATGTTGTGACCTTCTTTGTCTCTTGTCATGGCCTTAATTTTGCAGTATATTTGTCTGGTATGAGTATTGCCATCCCAGCAACATTTTTTCATGTCCATTTGCATGGAATACATTTTTTCTATCCCTTCACTTTCAACCTCTGCAGATTTTTTTTTTCTGAGGTGGGTCTTTTGTAGATAGCATATTTGTGGGTCATGTTTTCTTGTCCACTCAGCTACCCTATGCCTTTTGATTGGAGCATTTAATCCATTTACATTTATGGTTATTATTAATAGGTACTTGTTTGTTGCCATTTTTTCTCTTTATACCTTTGTTCCTCTCTCTATATATATTTCTTCTTCTTAAAGCAGTCTGTTTAGCATCTCTTGCAATGCTGGTTTGGTGGAGATACACTCTTTTAACCTTTTTGGTTTTGTTTTTTGTTGTTTTTTTTCTTTTTTGTATGGGAAACTCTTTATTTTGCCTTCCATTTTAAATGAGAACCTTGCTGGCTAGAGTTGTCTTGGTTGCAGGGCTTTGCTTTTAAATACTTTGAATATTTTGTGCCATTCCCTTCTGGCTTGTAGTGTTTCTGTTGAGAAATCAGCTGATAGCCTTATTGGAGCTCCATATGTTACTAGCTGTTTCTCCCTGGCTGCCTTTAAGATTCTCTTTTTGTTTTTAAATTTTGCCATTTTAATTATGTTGTGTCTTAGAGTGGGCCTTTTCAGTTCATCTTAATTGAGACTCTCTGTGCTTCCTGAACTTGCATGACTTTTTCCCTCAACAAGTTAGGGAAGTTTTCTATCATTATTTTTTCAAACAGGTTTTGTATATCTTGCTTCTTCTCCTTCTGGTACCCTATGATGCAAATATTGTTATGTTTCCTGTTGTCCTGAAGCTCTGATAAACTATCTTTGTTCCTTTTGAGTCTTTTTTTTCCCATTTTTTTGCTCTGATTGGGTGTTTTTTCCTACCTGATCTACCAGCTTGCTGATTTGGTCCTCTGCTTCCTCTAGCAGCTTTTAATTCTTTCTAGTGTATTCTTCATTTCTTATATTGTGTCCTTCAATTCCTCCTGGTTCTTATTCATAGTTTTATGTCCTTTTTTATGCTGATGTAGTTCTCACTAAGTTCTTTGTAGCTCCTGTAAAGTTCCTTATAGTTCTTAGTTACTTGAGCATCCTTGTAATCATTATGTTGAACTCTCTGTCTCATAGATTTCATTCACAGTCTTTGTCACATCAGAGCAACTAAAATGATTACTCCTGGTAACCAAGACACTTTAGTTTGGAATCTTGGCTTCTAATACAAAGAAAGTAAAGTATTTATCTAACTGGAGAGACCTCTGGCTACATTACTCCATAGCACATTCTTTTCTTTCCAATATTATAACATTATAAACACTGTAGTTAAAATGATAGTGGTATTTAATGGCTACTGTTAATTAGTGTAACGTCTTTTGCATCACACTATTTTGATTTAATCAAAATCGAGTATAATTCTTGGGAGTCAGAGACTCAATTATACTATAGACATAGACCACTTTCCTATGAATGGATTAGATTTTAAAGCCAATAGTCACTGTGAATATTAAATGGTCTCCATTTTTCTTCTCATTTACTTTTTACAGTAAAACACATATTCTAAAATACCATCAATAACAAAGTTTTTTCCCACTTTGTAGTAACTTCCATACCCAATAGGTTCTTACCTACCCAATATCAATTCTAGTTTCACACATTTAGAGAAAGGCAAGAGGTTTACCCATCGGCCCTTAACACACACTACCACACACAAAATCAGTTGCACCAACACATTGTTTCCTGGGGGGAAAAAAAAGAATTTTCAGTTTGCATTTCATATTCATTTTCAGATGAAACTGGGTAGGACTAATTAAAACCTAGTCATCACAATTAAACAGTTCTGTTTTGTTTTGTTTTTTGACCAAATGTACTCCCACTAACCACCACTCTTTGAAGCCACGGACATCCCAAAGGGCTGTCAGCACTCCCTCAACAGTTCAAGGACTCTTACCTCAAGGTCCATGAGCTCAGAGGCAGGGCTGTAGTAGCCGTTTACATGAACGAAGAGAGGAGTCCGCCAGACCTTCCTAACTTACTCTAAGGAAGCGGCTGCTGCTTCACAAGAACATCAAGCATTTGATTTGTGCTTTCCAAGTCTGAAGCTTTTCCAAAACCTCCCTGGCTTCCTTCCAGGCCACCTCCTTCCTGCGTCAGCGCAGTCCCTCACGGACTGTCTGGGGACTCCCTCTTTCCTAGGGACTCCGTCTGTAACCACAGATCCAGGACAGTCCCTCGCGCAAAGAATCCCGGCAGGAGGCGACATTCCTGGACCAACGTCCACAGCCCCTCCTGCAGCCCACCCACCACGCCCGTGCATTCCCCACGGCCCTGAGGCCCAGCACTGACGCATGTGGAGAACACGTGGGAAGGCACCGGGGATCGCGGACTCAGTCAGGAGCGATGGGCATCCCGCCTGGTCGGCGAGGAGGCAAGCTCAGGCAGAGCCAAAGCGAGCTTCACCTTCCATGCCTAGGGCTGCAGGCGGGTAGCTCACAGGGCGGTGGCCCCTCCCTTTGCCTCCTGCCTCCTGGGGTCCTTACCCCCGAGGAGGGCAGAAGGGGTGGCACCACCCGCCTGGCTGGCATAAGCGCCCTAGAGGAGCCCCCACACAATGTAGCGCACGTACGAGTACTGTGCTGGACCTGCCACCACCCCTCCTGTGGGCCAGAGTCAGGGACACGATCATCTCGGAACACGCAGGAACAAACCGAAAACTGTCGCCAGGGCTCGTACGAAATGGACATTTGGCTATAAGCCCTGGTAATCACAGGACACCACCCCAGAGGATCAATACATCATCTGGCCTGGATGGATTTGGTCACCACCGCTGTTCCACGTGCCTAAGCAGCTGGGGACGCTAACATTCCAGGCTGTATTCAGCTTCACGCAGTTGCCCATCCAGAGCAAGTAGGCAGTCTCTACTGAACGAGCTTCTGAGAAGTTAGGTGCCTGCTGCCCAGGGCCAAGAAAATCAGGAACTAAATCTACGAGGGCTAGAGGGAATGGACACAAAACTGTTTGAATGAAAATGTTACTGGGGACAGTTTAAATATCTTCTCCACACTCCTGTAATAAATATTTCATTGCAAGACACTGATCGTTTGGAAAAACTGGGAAGTGATTTGCAGAGTGAGGAAAAGTTTTGGCTGTCAGGCATCAGGAGTGGTGGGTATATGGCTATACCAAAATTCACCTGCTGCATCTACTCTGCTCTCAGAAATTAGCACTTGCATCTAGATAGTTTCTGGTTTTCATGTACAAACGAAATCATATGAATTCAGTTTTTTAAAGCAAGAAAGTTTTGGCCAGGGGGACAGACTTTTAAAAAAATGATTACACATTTTAAGTTTGTTTTTGTAGAATATTAAAAATAGACTTGTGAAGTAGAAAAAAATCTTTCCTCTACCTCCAAGGTTCTTTTGGCTGATCTAATAATCAAATACATGAAACAGATCAGCAAGAGAAACTAACCAAAGTTAATACACGGGTATGTATGGGAACTTCACATACATGAGAGAGAGAGAAACCCCAGGTACCCCGTGGTTCAGAGACTGAATGGGAACATGGGTATATAAGACATTAACATAGGAATAAGTTGATGTACCTTTAAAGGGTTATTGCAGGAAGAGTCGGTGTTCAGTAATTAAAGCTTACTCCGCCATAAAGGTGGGTCAAAAAGAGATTATATCTGATAAGCAAGGCCTTTAATTCAAGCTCTTCTTGGTACTGAAAGAGAGGAGTGAAGTTTCTCTTGAGCTCAAAAGTAAAATTGCCTTAGCTCAAGACAGAGAATTTTTAATACTTACCTAACAGGGGCAATAACATGATCATAAAGGTGGTTTTCCCAGGGCAAGGCTCGCCTATTGCACTTCAGGTATGCTAAGCCCTGCCTTTTCCCCAAATGTACGAAACTCAACTGCATAATTTGTGATAGTTGGGAACTATGTTTGTGCTCTCCCCTTGTATTTAAAAGAGAGAGAGAGAGAGAGAGAGAGAGAGAGAGAATTATGTAAGTTTGAGCCAAACTGACAACATATGCAATGGAGCAACATCTAAAATGCTCCTGAGAATAACTGCTTTGCAGTTTCTTTTAAGCATTTGAAATTAAGAGAGAGAAGTAAGGAAAATTACATGAAGGTGTCAGAAAGCAAGGCGAAATTGTATTACAACACAGTTAAGATTATTTGCTTTTAGAAGGAGGGGTCTGAAAGGGTGGTTTATGCATTAGTAAAGAGGTGTTAACCTAGATGCACAGAAACAATGGACAGGGTTCGCTAAAGCAAAGATTAACCCTTTACTTAAAGTTATATAACTGGGGCACGACTGCCCATCATAACATGCCCAGTTAAAAATTTATGATCACATTACCCTGCAAGGTTACTTTCCATAAAACCTCCTCTTTCATCCAATGAGACTATTTTCTCTCTAGCCTCTACTGTCTAGAGGGTACACTGGCCACGGTGTACCTTGCTCCCTATTTGGCCAAGACAAACTCTCAATGGAGTTTTCTGTACATACCCAGATTTGGTCTATTATCTCCTCAAGCTGGAGGATGCATATACAAATGGCAGATTGTCAAATTGTCTATGGGTCCTAGTTCAGGGAATCTTAAACTTTATTCTGTTCAAAGGGAGAAAAACAAGTAATCCCTTTGTGTTCTGGAACAGCTGTTTAAAGACAGCCCCCCCCCCTTCTTAGGCTAACTCTAGGAATAAAGTTTATCTTATGAGGGTTGCATCTTTTTTCACTCTTCTTTGGGGATGTCTGTTGCATCTATATCTTCGTCTGGAGGCACTATTAAGATCCTAATTGTTAAGGCTGGACCAAGGCAGGATAGTAAAAAAGCTAGAAAAATTTCTTGGCAACTGGAATGGGAAAACTGAAACACATATTTGAACAAACTGGCCAAACAATTTACAGCTAGATATAGAAGGTCACCAGGCCCGAAAGCCCCAAGTGTCTAGCAATAATAAAAAAAAAGGTGCTGGGCTTCACCCCCAGGGTGGCCTTTCCTCCCCTGGCGTATTACTGGTCATGTAGTTAGGACCCTCCCGCAACCTTTCCTCCCTAGAGATAACATCTAGGCCTCAATTGTATTTCAGTTCCAGGTCCAGAAAAGCATCAAAACCAGGCAGTGATGCCAGGCCCAGCTGCAATGGCTAATGCCATACCCACTGCCCTGGCGCTGACCAATCAGTGGAGAGCACTACATCGAAAAGGGCACACCTGGGAAAGCTGATGAATATTCTACTGAGATCCTCCTCTAAGACCACTTTTAAACTCAGCCTTTAAAACCCTCAAAATGGCCCTGGTCAGATGGCTCAATTCCATCCTGATACACCAAGGTTGTGGGTTTGATCCATAGTCATGGCACATATAAGAACCAACCAACGAATGCATAAACAAACAAAATGATGTTTCCCTCTCTCCCTTCCTCTCTCTCTAAAATCCATTTTTCAAAAAACCTAAATACAAAGATCCTAGCTCCCACTCTCTCTCCACGAAGCGTGCCTGCGTCTTTCCCTTTTCCCTCTTCTTGCCCCACAGCCATGCATCTCCTAAACTCTAGGGGACCCCACAAGACTTGCGACCAGGGAAGTGATGGGCAGCATCAGCTCATCCTGCGCTAACTCCTTGAACCTGTCTCCAAGGCCTCCTTTTCTCTGACTTTCCAGTGAGGTGTCAGCAGCCCCTCCTTGGCTCATTTCTTTCCCATAGCATTTCTAGCATTTCTAGACAGCCGAAGCAGCTCCACCTCATCTCTGCCTGCTGCTTCTTATGTCCTAAGCCCTTCTTTTGTTTCACTGTCCCCAGCTTTGATAAACATCCTCTCAAAATCACCTGGACTCATGTTATGAAATCTTTCCTGCACAAAGTCAAGAACCCACGCAATGGAGGCCGGCCCGAGGCAGACCTGCTCCAGCCTGATCTCTGAATGGTAACAACACGATGGATTCTTTTAATTGGAAAAAAAGTTTAAATTGGAAAGAAAGGAGTATTTTTCTTAAGAGCTCTCACATTTTTATAATCGCTAACCATTACAATTCCCTTAATAAAACAGAAGGGCAGAAATCAGGACAAAAATTAAAATCTCCTCAGACCCCTTCCCATTTGCTTTCAAAAATTGGCAGATATTGTAAACAATCAGGTCATTGGGAGTAGTCTTGTCCAGCACTTAAGAAGAAAACTGAAAGAAAAAGAAACCCCAAAATCTTACTAAAAGATAACCTAAAATTTTATGTCCTAAGAACTCAGCTTGGTAACTTTCAGATTGGAAGCTCCAAAATATGGCCAGATAGAAATATGGGCTAAAACTCTGTTTACTACCATTGTGCTACCAGCCCTCAAGAAAATCATAATCTAAAATTACAATGGCTAGTATGAGAAATGCTCCAATTAGAAAGAAAGAAAAATAGGGCTAAATAAAATGGACAATGATGGGGCTAAAACAAAGGTTTCGGTATAGCCCTACCAAAGGCTGAATGGGCCAAATGAACCCCTTTGGTTCCCCTGAGAGAAGGTATGTGCTGGAACAGCAGCAATCATTAGAAGGTACAGGAGCTGTCAAGATAAAGGAAGACCACTCCCCACCGGATTTCTGGCTCACAACAGGCAGAGAGCAGCTTCATTCAACGTGGTGACTCCTGTCACCTGAAGGTAACCCCTAGCTTCATTGTACACTCATTTTCATACATTAGCATGTTAAACAACATACCCCGAACCACCCTGAGCAGACCTGGAGAGCCTACAGAAGAGCACAAAATGGCTCACAAAGTTCTTCCGAGAAGTCTTTACCCCTCTCCCAGGGAGATCCTGAATATTCCTCCCCCTCACTGACTACCCTAACTCTGATTAAGTGAACCTCAATAAAGGAAGCAAATTTCATAAAAGGGGGCCTGCTTTCTCTGTGCAGGAGCCCTATTTCTTGTCTCACTGTGTTACAGAATCTCAACCCGTTCAGGGGCCAAGAAACATGGCCCTGGAAGAAGCATAGGAACCAAACCATTATCCACAACTCCATGATTTCCAAACAGTGTTCAGAAACAGATTTGCAGCCAAAGCATCTCACTTCTCCGATCACTTCCCAGATCCATTTCCCTTTTACTTTCCAGGCATGATTAGGCAACCAGTGCCCTCATGAGAGGTGCAGAGAAATTCTGAGAGACTGGGAAAACCCCGCATTCTCTCCCGCCCACACCTGAGGGGTATGGTCTGCCTCGGCAATTCTCAGCCACACATTAGGTGCCAAAAACTGTTACAGAAAGGACCTGTTTGGGGGCCAAGATACTGTCACCAAAACAGGCCCTCCCTCCCCGGGATCTTTTCGTTCTAGGTTCATCTTGCCAACCGCTGGTATTAGGAACTATGGCTCTCAGCGCCAGACTTTGATAAAAAGGAAAGGAACTATTTATTCAAAAGTTATACAGGTTTAGAGTAATGGCAGAATGTCACTGTTAAATTCCAAAGTCCCTTTAAAACACCCACTATCCTGCCTTTCCCCCTTTGCCCAATCAGGCCAGTCAAGGGTACCATGTCTCAGGGAAAGAAACAAAAGTCCATAGCTAGACTGGGCATCCATTCTTAATCCAAAACCACATCCTTTCAATTCCCCACAAGCCAGGGAATCCTTCCGCATCTTCTCAAATTGCTAAGAGAGCTCCACATAGCTGCTACACCTTGCTTTCCTGCTTCCTAAGCTGCATGGTCAACGGAGCTCTCTCTCCACTCCTAAAACTCGTGGTTAAGCTCCTGACCTGCTACCACACCTGGGTTTAGGTCTCAGTGTGGATCTTCCTCCGTAACCCCATTTCCAACTCCCCCCACAAATGGCTACACCCGCTACCACTCCTGTATTCTCTGCCTTTTTTGGCTGCCATAGTTATTCTGGGCAGGTATGGCCCTGTGGTGTGGAGCAACCATCTTCAAGCTCTTGTGCAGATATCGTAATAAGGGGTCAAAGTCATGCCCGTCTCCCTAGCTAGCCTGCTGATATTGATATGCAAAATAACCATTCTTGCCTATAAGTATTATGCTAACCTGCTGTTAATATGCAAAGTAATTCTCAGTGGCCCTGCTCCATGTCTCCCATCTCCCGATCAGGTTCGTGAGGGGGGGCGGGGCTGGCTCTCTCACACCTGCATCCAGTTACGATTGTTTCACTAATAAACTTATTTTGACCTTAAACCTTATGTTGGCTTGTATTTAAATTCTTTCCTGTGCAAAACCAAGAACTTACAGTGGGTCTCAGATCCTCAAGTCTCTGGAACCCCCAGAATGCCTGCATCACCCTGACACTAAAGGGTGCCAAATAAGGCTGCTCTATTTACCCCAATGTAGAGAAATTTTAAAATACTGGAAGAAAGTGATTACAATGAGAAATCAGAGCAGAAATCCCTTGGAGAAACAGTCAGCCTGGTTAAATCAAATTAAAGATTGATACTAGGGCCAGGGACCCTTGGCTTGACCCATTCCTGGGACCCAAATCCTCCTTACTCAAGAGTGGATAATATGGTCAGGTATTGTTAACAAAATTCCAAAAAAATAAGTTTTATTCATATATGATTTACAAATCAAGGACATAACCTACTATATGAATGAAAGAGAGGCTCCAAGGTGGGAGGGGGAAGACAGGGTTTTCAAAAAGTATAAGTTGCTAACAGCTGGTCATCAAAGGGATGGGTTGCTAGGGGAAACAAGATGAAATAGTTACATTATTTGTTTTGGGATTGATAAGGGTAGCTGGACTTTTAACGGTCAGCTGACAAAGTGGTCAGTCAAATGGGGCTGTGAGAGGACAACAATGGGTAATGTATAATTAATCATTTTTCAACCTCTTAGTTCTGGTTCAAGTTTATAGAACAAAAGGTTTTGGGTACTTATCAAAAGATACCACACAACACAGAGAGACTATTTGTTCTTCAGTTAGTTTTCAAGTCCAAAAAGCAGAGCCACGCTCTGCAGG